AATTAAAAATATTTTGCGTTCTGTTATGACAAATGCTCGTTTGGAAGGCCTCATGATGCTTGGAATACATCGCGATAGGGGAAGCAACCTCGACCTTGACATGGTGGTTGACAGATTTCGTGCAAAATTTCCAAAATGTGGAATTTCACTTTGAAGAAAGAGGATTTGAAAGTAAAATTAGATAGTTACATTGCAAAATCTTTGTTTCTTGTTTTATTCAAAATGTTTTGGTTTTGAAAACAGATTTCGACATTAGAAAACAGCCTACAAGAAGTCATATTCTAGTAGCTCGATGCCTATCAAGTAAGTAATAAAAATTTGCCATAATTCGCCAAATATCCATAACTGCCAGGGGGTGAAGCCCCCCTGGAACCCCACCGCAGTGGCATAAGCAAGAATTTAGTCTAATGAAACTTGTTTATCATCTTGATACCTTCCGACGAAAATTGACCATACCGTCGTCCCCACCGATCTATTAAATAGTTTTTTGGGAGTTGCGTCTCCGGTGACATCGTGAGGGCATGGTAAAGGCTGGTTACGATTTGGTGGCACATCGATTGAGTATTTTCATTCATCTGGCCATGTAAGTCAGTGGCGTATCTAGATGTCTTGAAATGGGGGATGATGGGGAACGCGAAGATGAAGTGGGGGAGGGGATCGATGATCAGTTGAGGGGCGCTATTTTTAACTACTTGACCCTGATTTGAAACCAGTGTCAATATAATCTTAGATAAGCATAAGCAAAAATTTAGTCCAATGAAACTGTTTATCATCTTGATACCTTCCGACGAAATTTGACCCTACCAGCGTCACCACGGCGTCCCCACCGATCGATCTAACGTGACGTTGTTATGTGGGTGTTTTATAGATTATTGAGAATGGTAGTATCACCGAAAAATAGATAAAATGACCAACAAAGATAATTGAAAACAATAGTTCGTCATTAGAAGTTATTTAGTATAACTTTATTCGGAAAATTAATCTCATAATCGAGTTGCCATCCCCGGCGTTGTCAGTGACGTCGTATGTTTGTGTGCGATTTTTACCAATTAACCCTAAAGTAAAATATAGTTGAGCCATGTAGTAATTGGAAATCAACCCAGAAACCCGGTAGTTTGTTGATTGTTTATTGGTAGCATCCCTTCGCTGTCAAAAATAGTTTTTTGGCAGTTGCGTCCCGGTGACATCCCATTTTCAAAAAAAATAACCAACATAAATTTTAAGTTTTTAAGTGCCATTCTCCAACTTTTTCTCATGCAGCCTCAAACATGAGGGGGCTCAGGTGGATATAGTTATTTTTCTAGTTTTTATGTATGAAATTACCATTTTCTGGCATCAAATTCCCCAATTTTTAACATTTTGTAGTTTAACTTTGTAGTTTGTTTTTTTTTTTACTCAATTCGTCAAAAACATTATTATTTAATAGGTAATGTAAGTGGTATAAAATACTGAAATTTTTGCCAACCCGCCAACCGCCAACCCACGATGGCACTGACGTGATGTGGACTCTCATTACATCAGCACCCTGTTCTTTAAATTATGGATACGCCATTTTGCTGAAAACAATAGTTAAGACAAAATATATATTTCCATTCGTTTTGTTGTTCACTTAAATGTCTGATAGAATATTACTTTAAAACTATGCTAAAAACACAGTGTCAATACGAACATTTACACATGTAAGACTGAGCTGAGCGACTCCGAATTAAGGTGGAATTAGTAGTGGTTAAGTGACGTTTGTCATGCACTGTATTATGCGCTATGGAAATGGAAGACCATAATGTAATGGAAATGAACCTCTCTGGTATTGCCGACAGTACAATCAGTGTAAAATATAGGCCAGTGTAGATTTATACAATGTCCTCATGGCAATGTTCAAAATAAATGTAAATCAAATAAATATGACCGTTGGGGTGAGAGGGGGTGTATCTTTGTAGTTAGGCAGTTATATACTGTCTTTATGTCTAAACAAACTTTAATTTAAACACCGGGTCTCCATTTTGAAAGCTCCTAAGAGTTTCGTGGAGGTCCTGTTCGTCACTCTGTTTTTGAATATGTATGGTTGAGTTTACATCAAAAAAATTGACAAATATTGATGCGGAAATTTTAAAAAGTGTTTCTTTTTCTTGGCCGCATCATTTTTTCAACAGCATAAAAAACAATGTAATTTTGTGATTGGAAATAGGCCTACGTTTTCTTTAAAAAACAATAAAAATTAAACCAGTTTTATACAATATTTACAATATTCTTGCCAAATAAAAACAGTCCCTCCGTCATCTATTACAAAAAAGCAGTTGTTCCGATTTAAAAAAAAGAAATAAATAAAAAGGCCCGCCCTATTCACTTAAAAAAATAGTGATCTAATAATTTTTCCTATGTGCCCTAAATTGGCTATAGTGGGACACAGTGACAAACTATAAATATCTTGTTTAATATTTTTAAAATAATCATATTCTTTTTCATTGTGTCTAATGGTTGCCGAATTGGCTATAGTGGGACACAGTGATGAAGTACAACTGTCTTCTTTAATATTTTCTAAGTTAATCCTTTTCTTTTTCATTGTGTTCAATGTATTCAAAATATTAGATTATCACCCTTTAAAAAAAAAACGATGACGGATTGCGGATTTTTTTTTTAATCCGACCAATTCGTTATTGCGCTTTTGTTTTTATTGATGAGGGAGGGACTGTTTATATTTGGCTAGTAATAGTAAACATTGTATAAAAACTGGTTTAAATTTTATGGTTTTTTAAAGAAATGTATCTGAAGTCACAAATTTGCATTGTGTTATGCTGTTAAAATAATTGGATGCGGCAAAGATTTTTTTTTATCCTGCATCATCTAACAATTTTTACAGTGCCCTAAATTGGCTATAGTGGGACACAGTGATAAAGTACAACTGGGGGGGGGGGAGTTGTGATGATCTAACAATTTTTTCAGTGCCCTACATTGGCTATAGTGGGACACAGTGATAAACTATAAACTATAAATATCTTGTTTAATATTTTCTAAGATAATCCTATTCTTTTTCATTGTGTCCAATGGTTGCCAAATTGGCTATAGTGGGACACAGTGATAAATTACAACTGTCTTCTTTAATATTTTCTAAGTTAATCCTTTTCTTTTTCATTGTTTTAAATGGCTGCTAAGTGCACATAGAAAAAAATATTAGATTATCACTGTTTAAAAATAATCAATGAGGGAGGGCGGTTTTTTGTTTGTTTGTTTGTTTGTTTTTTTTTTAAATCCGAATAATTGATTATTTTGCTTTTGCTTTTATTGATGAAGGAGGGACTGTTTATATTTGGCTAGTAATAGTAAATATTGTATAAAAACTGGATTAAATTTTATAGTTTTCTTAAAAGAAATGTGTCTGAAGTCACAAATTGGCATTGTGTTATGCTGTTAAAATACTTGATGCGGCAAAGATTTTTTTTTTTATCCCGCATCAATATTTCCCGATTTTTTTCACGCATGTGTATAAGAGACAGGGGTGGGGATCTAACAATTTTTTCAGTGCCCTACATTGGAGACAGTGATAAACTATAAATATATATATTTTCCAAGATAATCCTATTCTTTTTCATTGTGACCAATGGTTGCCAAATTGGCTATAGTGGGACACAGTGATAAAGTACAACTGTCTTCTTTAATATTTTCTAAGTTAATCCTATTCTTTTTCATTGTGTTCAATGGCTGCTAAGAGCACATAGAAAAAAATTATTAGATTATCACTGTTAAAAAAAAAATCAATGAGGGAGGGCGGTTTTTTGTTTTTTTAATCCGAACAATTGATTATTTCGCTTTTGTTTTTATTAGTGAGGAAGGGACTGTTTATATTTGGCTAGTAATAGTAAATATTGTATAAAAACTGGTTTAATTTTATAGTTTTTTTTTTAAAGAAATGTATCTGAAGTCACAAAATTGCATTGTGTTATGCTAAATAATTGATGCAGCAAAAAAAATAGTTTTTTTTTTTATTTCCGCATCAATATTTCCCGAATTTTCCCCGCGGGGGTGGGTGGGGGAAGGGGGAGTTAAAATCTAACAATTTTTTTCAGTGCCCTAAATTGGCTATAGTGGGACACAGTGATAAACTATAAATATTATCTTGTTTAATAACTTCAAAAATAATCCTATTCTTTTTCATTGTGTCCAATGGTTACCAAATTGGCTATAGTGGGACACAGTGATAAAGTACAACTGTCTTCTTTAATCTGCTTTAATTTGATTCGCTAATAAGTTTAGTAGTTCTTCCCATTATGGGCTCCCTAGCTTCCAAAAAATTTTCCGGAAGCCATAGTCTCGTTTGGTCCAGGAATATTGTGTTTTTTCCACATTGTTGAAAATTAATAAAATTCTGAAATTCTCCAATTACAGATAACAAGGTAAAGTAAATTTATGTATAAGGAGTTGCTTTGTAACATTTTAATGTATTCCAATGTAATTCTATGTAATTTTCATCATATTATAGCTCTGGAGTTGGAACATGACCGAAGTCCGTTTTTGGTATACCAAATATACCTCTATATCTCTATGCTCTATGCCCGCGGTACGCGATTTTTTTTCCGTACGAAACATTTGCATGAAACTTCACTCGGGCCATCTCGGATTGACTCGACTAAGTTCGATACGAGGAACAAGAGCAGACACTTCGCAATGTCGTGACGCACGAGTTTTACTATTACAGTATTGTTCTTTCTACGTTTACCTACGGTCGGCCTATGGTATCTTACGGATTTATGGGATGTACGTGTGTAACTAACTGTGACCTTCTTGGATGTTTATTTCATGGTCTCAAAGCAGGCTTAAATATTACATTGGCGACGAGGATGAACAGAATTATGCTACCCGTCCCAGGACAGCTTGATCTCACAGGTGAACAAATCCATACGAAGTGGAAGCAGTTTAAACGGGGCGGGTGACAGACGATCGGGCACACGAGACGATCGGGCCCGTTTTTGGACGATCGGGGCCGATTTCAAGATCTAAAAACGTCATTAATTAAAGATCAGGTAATAATGGGAATAAGAAATCACAAAATTAGAGAGAAACTGTTAAATTCAGACAAGGTAGTAACTCTAGACTGTGCATTAACTCTCATTCGTGCGCATGAGCACACAGTCATGCAATTAAAGTCGATGAATGAGAGCAGTGGAAATACACAGCAGCAAGCAGCAGAAGTAAATAAACTTTTCAAACATAAAACATACAACCCGAGATACACTAAACCTATATCGAAACCTAAGGCAGCTCATAATCGCACCACGACATGCCATAACTGTGGGGGCGTGTACCCACACAAACAGGGAAAGCCGTGCCCTGCAGCAGGTCAGACATGCCATTCGTGCGGTAAAAGAAATCATTTCGCAAAATATTGTCGTAGTAGAGGAAGGGCTAGAGCAGTTAGCGTAAAACCTGTCAATCGCGAGAGTTCAGATGAGGAATATGTATTCGCAAACAAGTGTTTAACAAAAAAGGGCCTCCCAAGTTGCGAAGTAGAAATTGCAGGGGTGAAAATTAAAGCCGGAATTGACTCACAAGCAAGCGTTAATATTATGGACAGCGATACATTCAATAAACTGAAGAAGACAGCAGCAGCTCCAAATACATGTTTGCGAAAATCAAAAGCACAAGTATTTGCTATATAATGCATCGCAACTTCTTCCAGTCATGGGTGAAATAAAAGCTAAAATAACTGTTAACAAACGTCAAGTCACCGCCTCCTTCAGCATTGTAAACGGTAATGTGGGTAATCTTCTGTCATACCAAACATCAGTTGATTTAGGTCTGTTACAAATAACCAACAGCGTTACACCACCGAACACCGACAAAGTAGTAAACGAGTTTAGTGAACTATTTAACGGTATGGGAAAGATAAAAGGTGAGCAAATTTAATTACACATAGATGAGACCGTCCAGCCGAAAATTCAGAAACATCGTCGAATACCATTTAACGTACGAAAGGATGTGGACAAAGACATCAATCGTTTAATAGCAGACGACATAATTGAACGCGCAGAAGGGTCCACTCCATGGATAAGCCCAGTAGTTGTCGTGCCCAAAAAGTCAAACGAAGTCAGAATCTGCGTTGATATGAGAGAAGCGAACCTTGCTATAAAACGCGAAAAGCACCCTATACCTACAATTGAGGAAATAATCACAGACCTTAACAAAGCGCAATTCTTCAGCACACTAGACCTCAAAGCAGGATACCATCAATTTGAACTTCATCCGGACAGTCGCTATGTTACTACATTCACTACACACTCTGGTCTTTTCCGCTATAAACGTCTCATGTTTGGCGTCAATGCAGCGTCGGAGATATTCAAAACGCTGTTGCACGAATGCTTGCAGGTCTCCAAGGTTGTCGCAATATGTCGGATGACATAATAGTCTATGGAACAACTAAACAGGAACACGATGATAACCTCAAAGCGGTGCTACAACGCTTGAAAGATTGTAATGCTCGTCTAAATAAAGACAAATGTACTTTCTCAAAGACAAAAGTCAGCTTCTTTGGCCATATATTTTCTGGAGACGGGGTCAGTCTTGACACCCAGAAAATTGCAGCGATTGTCAACATGGAACCACCAAAGAACGCAAAAAGAAATACGATCTTTTCTAGGAATGGCGCAATACGTATCACGTTTCATTCCGGGTTATGCATCACTGTCAACACCTTTGCGACTGCTCACCCACAACAACGTCGAATGGACATGGGGTGAAACTGAGCAACAAGCGTTTATCCAGTTGAAGAATAAGTTAGCAAAAGCAGATGTTACAGCTTACTTTAATCCTAACCTAGCAACAGTTGTGGTCGCAGACGCGAGCCCAACGGGCCTCGGAGCAATGTTATGTCAAGAAGGCCGCGTGGTAGCTTATGCCAGCCGTACACTAACAAACACAGAATCGAGATACTTGCAAATTGAACGCGAAGCCCTCGGAGTAACCTGGGCAATCACGCATTTTCATATGTATCTCTTTGGCAGCAACTTCACAGTATATACGGACCATAAGCCATTGTTACCACTCTTTAATAACAAAAACACAAAACCTACAGCGAGAATCCAACTATGGCTCCTAAGATTGCAACAATACAACTTCACATTTAACTTCAAAGCTGGAACAGATAACCCAAGCGATTACCTGTCAAGACACCCTGTAACAGTCAACACAGTAGACCGAACATCACAAACAGCTGATGATTATGTAAACTATGTTTGCAGAAACGCAGTTCCAAAAGCAATGAGACACTCCGAAGTGAGTAAAGGAACACAAAGCGACCCTGCAATGCAGAAGCTGAAACTAGCTATTATGGAAGGAAACGCAAACTGTTGGAAAGATTCTGATATCGCAGACTTCAAAGCAATTAAACATGAATTGTCAGTTGAAGACAATGTGATACTCCGTGACACAAGAATAGTCCTTCCGATAAGCCTAAGATCACGAGCAGTAGATCTAGCACACAAGTCCCATCAGGGCATAGTGAAAACTAAGCAGTTAATACGCGAAAAAGTCTGGTTCCCAGGAATAGACAGTATGGTAGAATTGCCTTGCCTGTCAATCGTCATCATCGATCGGTTCACCACCAGAGCCACTGAGAATGTCAAAGCTTCCAGAAAGTCCGTGGAAAGAAGTATCCATAGATTTTAAAGGACCTTTTCCTACAGGAGAATACCTACCTGTAATCATAGACGATTTTAGCCGGTTTCCAGAAGTCGAAATCGTATCGTCTACCTCTGCAAAAGCTACAATTCCGAAACTGGACGCTGTCTTTGCCCGCCAAGGCATACCGGACATTGTAAAAAGCGATAACGGACCTCCATTTAATGGTTTTGAATTTTTGCAGTTCGCAGAGTATATGGGTTTCTCGCACAAGAAATGTACTCCATTGTGGCCACGTGCCAACGGTGAAGCAGAACGCTTCATGCGTACGCCTTGTCAAGCTAGTACACACAAGTACTGCATCTGGACTTAACTGGAAACAGGAACTTTTGACATTTCTTCGCCAATATAGAGCTACACCTCATTCAACTACGGGCAAATCGCCTAGTGAGGCTCTCAATGGAAGAAAACTTAAAACAACTCTTTCACAAGCTAAAGATAAATCGATAGGCATACATCAAAGCATCCGCGAAAAGGACAGAAAGAAGAAAGCCGCAATGAAAGCCAATGCTGATAAACACTTACACGCTAAACCAACAACCATAAACATCGGTGACAAAGTACTCATTAAGCAGAAACGTAGAAATATCCTCGACCCTCCATTTAATCCGGAAACTTTTGTTGTCGTCGAAAGGAAGGGAAATTGTATAACAGCACAACAAGGCGAAATTTCTATCACCAGAAACTGTACCTTTTTCAAGAAGCTAGCGATCATGCAAAATAAAGAATGCATAACGGGAAACGAATCACAACCAACCACCAGAGCACCAATAACCAAACCGCAGCTAACTCCAACTCGACACTCTACTAGAATCAAGAAACCTCCCACAAGCTTAAATGACTACGTGGCGGAATAATGAACATTTCTATTTTAAACATAAGCATATCACTTCTAAAATTCTGAAAGGAAATTTGAACTGTTGTTTTGAATTCAGAAAGTTGATATTTAAAGTTGTTAAAGCACTGAGTTCAAGTGCACTGTTTAGAACTTAATAGAAAAATTAGTTTAGAACTTGTTTGATGAGCTGTGCTCATGTGTTTAAATTTTAAAGTTAATTGACGCATAACAAAAAATATATATATACACATTAGACACTGTAATCTGAATGTCAGCTGTTTATTGTTAATCTGCTAAAGAAATATACTAGTCACATCATTACATAACAGAAGACAAATATATACTGTAATCATCTAAAGCTAATTTAAATTCAATCTAAACAAAGGGAGGGATGTAATATCTATTATAAAGATTATCGGTCCAGCGCCCTCTCTAGGTGCTAGGGGCTACCAATATGGCTACGGTCCATCGTGTACACGGCGAAATACAACCTTGTTATTAAAATCAGCTTTATACGTTATCTAGTGTTCGTCGTTGTTATTTCATGGTCTCAAAGCAGGCTTAAACATTACAGTCAGGGAGTTGTCTCTTTATTAGGGGTTCTTGTATTATTAATTGGCAAAATGTTAATTTGCATTAAATTTTTGAATTGTGATAACAATGTTGAAATAATTAAAGATAGGTTTAAACTACGTTGTAAAAAACCATAGTTTCACTGGGTATGAAAAACGATATGGTCTGGTCATGTATACACTCAAGTAAAGAAATTATAATGCTTTTTTTTATATTATGTCAACAAAATAGCTAATTCCAGTATTCCCAAACCGCGGGTCCTGCAGGCAGCTAGAAATCAGTAATAATCTTCTTTTCTAAAATCTTGACCGCTGGACTGGGGTGCAACTAGGTGAGCGACATTAATCGCAGCTGTTTGCCTTTGGCCACTTCCCAGGTGCTGAAAAAATGGAATACGGTACGTAAGATTAACTTAGTTGCAGTTCATTGTCCTTTATAATAATAATAGGCCCTAATAAAATAATAATAATAATAATAATAGGTCTAATATTAATAATAGAATTAATAATAATAGGCAACAAATAAAAGTAACAACTAGACTTACTATATCTGTACAACAGAACATAGGGTTTTCATCATTGCCTTAATGAGAAATTATGTTGAAATTGCAAAAAAAAGTCATTAAGCAAGTATAAATTTTAAAAAAACACACGAAAAAAAAATACTACTAAAGAAAATTATGAGAGGAAAACACAAAGACCAACTCCATGACTAACGCTACGTTGGTGAGACTCGAACTATAACTGCAATGGTAAAAGTGAGGGTGATATGGAGATTCATAACCATTGCGCGCTTATATGAGCCGACCCTGCATAGGTCAGTGCATTTTTAGTTCATCTACATTCCTACTTTCAGTAATATCTTGGTAATTCAGTGATTGAGAGCGAAAATTCTTATTCCATTTTTACAGAAATTTTACGTTTAACCTACTTGCAGCTGGTTTAAACGTTTTATAATACACAACTTGCGTTTAAGCACCCATCCACTAATATTCTCCAGATATCCTATCCACATCAGAATTTAATAAATTCTTCATTGGAACATGGCAAAGTATTCTGGAAAGTTTCATTTATATCCGAAAATTGATAAGTTTTGGAGGTATTTAAGTCTGGGAGGTTAGCACTTTGAATGACCCTCACATTCACATCCGAATCTGGATCGTCACCAAAATGTATTCATTTCTTCCTCATACGGTAACTTTGTTAAACTTTTCAGAAAGTTTCATTTAGATCAGTTGATGCATTTCTGGGATATCTGGTCTGGGACGTTTCCCTTTAAATGATCCACATGTCCACACCTTATTTCGGATCATCACCAAAATTGAATCTGTTCCTTAATGAACCATAACAAACTACTCTGGGAAGTTTCATTTCGATATTTAGGTCTGGGACGTTAGCCATTTAAATGGCCCTCAATTTCACACTGAATCTATATCGTTAACAAAACATAATAATAGGTTATTACTTCCTTGTAACTTGGCTAAACTTTCCCGAAAGTTTAATTCAGATCAGTTTATTTGTTTTTTAATATCTGATGTGGGGTGTTTGCCTTTAAATCAGCTTAATTGGTCCTTACATCCACACCCCACTCCAGATTTTTACTAAATTTTATGCGACACCGCTTTGGTATAATGTCGGACAAAGTTTGGGAAAGATCCAAGCAAGGAAATTGACTAAAGTACTGGTGAGATCGGAAAAACGTGTGGAAGAAAATATTCAAAACAAAAACAATGGTCAATGATGAAAATAATTAAAATGCTGAAATGATAAATATAATGAAAACAATAGAAAATAATAAATAATAGACAATAATAAATAGTGTAATAATAGGGCCTAATAATAATAATAATAACAATAATAATAATAATAATAATAATAATAATAATAATAATATTAATAATAATAATAATAACAAAGCAGTGACGATAACATTAAAAATAACAAGATGAAGGAGCTTATGCTCGCAGAAAACAGTATACATACATTATTATTATGTATGTATATACTTTATATTATGTACATAGTAATATACATTAATACTATATTACAATTATTATCATTGCTAAAAATCTTTTTGTGTAATACTTTCTCAAAAACTGTTGAATTCTCATCACCAGTCCTTGGCTTACACGGAATGGGCTGTTATCACGCTGATTTTTAGATTTTTGTGCCAAATTTGATTTTAAAAAAAAATACAAATTTTACACGTTTTTACCTCAAAATGGTATTTTGAAGGTAGTCCATCATTGGAAGACTTAATTTAAATATATTTGGTGTCATACAAAAGCTATTAAATTATTTACCAGATGATGTATAGGATGACACATTATATTAATTTTGTGACCTTAAAATTACAAAAAAAAAAGCTTTTTGTTTCGCTAAAATTAACAATACATATTTTCTTAAATAAATGCGAAAAATGATAAGCTAATCCCCTTTTTACCTGATACTTTTTCAAAAACTGACCACATACAAAATAACACACCTATAAAAATTTCAGACATTATCCATTTTGTATTTTGGAGTAGTAGTGTGTCAAAAGTTATCACCCGCAAAAATGGCAAATTTTACTTTTTTTTTTTACCCCAAAATGGTATTTGGAACCTATTATTTTTATATTAATATATCTTTTGGTGATTTTTACTGTTTTAACTTATTTTTATGTAATTGTTGAGCTTTTATCTGTGTATATTTTTTGCAATTATTGTTTAACTTCAATTTGGTCTAGATATCTTGTCAGATTGCAATAAAGTGAATTTGATTTGATTTGATTTGATTTGGTACATTAATAAACGATTCAATTTGAAAATATTTAGTATCATAAGAAAGCATTTAAACTTATCTATCAAATGCTGTGTGTTATAAGACATTATATTAATGTTGTGACCCAAAAAGGACCAAAAAAGAACTTATTTTTTATGGGTTTTTTGGCCAAATTAATTAATATTTATTTTATTTATTTCCAGGCAATATAATACAGTACAGTAGATAAGAGAAACAAATAACAAAAACAAAGCCCGAGGATTACCTAAAAGCGAACTTAATCACTATCTAAAGGCTCTCCAAAACATTAAAAAGACAAACATTAAAATCTCAAAAATTCAAAATTCATATATGTACAATATAAAAAGTTAATAAAAATATTACAAAGAGAATTACAATTTCGTTAAGGTAAAAATATAATTTAATTAATAGATGTGTATAAGAGACAGTGTATACACTCAAGTAAAGAAATTATAATGCATTTTTTTTTTTATATTATGTCAACAAAATAGCTAATTCCAGTATTCCCAAACCGCGGGTCCCGCAGGCAGCTAGAAATCAGTAATAATGTTCTTTTCTAAAATCTTGACCGCTGGACTGGGGTGCAACTAGGTGAGCGACATTAATCGCAGCTGTTTGCCTTTGGCCACTTCCCAGGTGCTGAAAAAATGGAATACGGTACGTAAGATTAACTTAGTTGCAGTTCATTGTCCTTTATAATAATAATAGGCCCTAATAAAATAATAATAATAATAATAATAGGTCTAATATTAATAATAGAATTAATAATAATAGGCAACAAATAAAAGTAACAACTAGACTTACTATATCTGTACAACAGAACATAGGGTTTTCATCATTGCCTTAATGAGAAATTATGTTGAAATTGCAAAAAAAAAGTCATTAAGCAAGTATAAATTTAAAAAAAACACACGAAAAAAAAATACTACTAAAGAAAATTATGAGAGGAAAACACAAAGACCAACTCCATGACTAACGCTACGTTGGTGAGACTCGAACTATAACCGCAATGGTAAAAGTGAGGGTGATATGGAGATTCATAACCATTGCGCGCTTATATGAGCCGACCCTGCATAGGTCAGTGCATTTTTAGTTCATCTACATTCCTACTTTCAGTAATATCTTGGTAATTCAGTGATTGAGAGCGAAAATTCTTATTCCATTTCACAGAAACTGTACGTTTAACCTACTTGCAGCTGGTTTAAACGTTTTATAAAACACAACTTGCGTTTAAGCACCCGTCCACTAATATTCTCCAGATATCCTATCCACATCAAAATTTAATAAATTCTTCATTGGAACATGGCAAAGTATTCTGGAAAGTTTCATTTATATCCGAAAATTGATAAGTTTTGGAGGTATTTAAGTCTGGGAGGTTAGCACTTTGAATGACCCTCACATTCACATCCGAATCTGGATCGTCACCAAAATGTATTCATTTCTTCCTCATACGGTAACTTTGTTAAACTTTTCAGAAAGTTTCATTTAACTTGCATTCTTACTATAAATAATCTATAATGGTGTAGAGGTTAAACTATCCCCCGCCGGACACCGTCCCGGTATTTTTGTCTGGACTTTATACTTAGGCCTATGTTGTTCATGTGTTATTGAGTGAATGAACAACACATTGGAATTAATACAGTAGTTTAGCTTACCTCGCAAGAAAAATATCAAATTTGTCCAAAGTAGGCATGCAAATTGGAATATCATCCTTTTTGACTGGTCATATACAGAAAACTATGGTGCCCTATGCTGCCTTGATGCGAGAAGCTTGATTACAATTTAAACACATTTTTGGGTTATCTATATTATAATTATGCTTAATTCAAAGCCTAAAAGCACAGTGATGTAACCCATTACGTCAGATAACGTCATGGATGCAAAACTTACCGGTCTGAAAAACTGTAACAACACAGTTCATCAAAGTGTTCAGTATATAATTTCATATTCAGCGTAATTGAGGCGAAAATAATAACTTTACTGTCATTATAATATACTGAAGCGTTGTTCAAATTGTCACGCATTGAATCCTGTGGTTTGGCCAAGGCCATGTAAAAGGAAATAAGTTGTTTATAATCCCCTTCCTACATAAAAACAACCAACCATTTTTTTCTCTTTGCCAGGACTCACGAAAATATAATTTTTCCACCCATAATCCAACTTC